TTTTTTTCCAGAGGTACTCAAGCTGAAAGAGATAGGGTTTTTAAAGAGGTAATTAAGGTAAAATGAGGTCATAAGGGTGGGCCCTAATTCAACATGACTGGTCCTTACAAGAAGAGGGGATTAGGACACAGACATACACCAAGGAAGATGAAGCGTGGACACACAGAAGGTGGAGGAGCGAGGGCCAGAGAGACGTCAGCCCTGCGACTCCCTGATCTCGGACTTCCGTGGTTTAAACCACCCATTCTGCGGCAGTTTGTTGTGGTAGCTGGAGCTAAGACAGATGGCTATGATTAAAAAAAGAGACACTGAAAAACATCGGTGAGGGTGTAGAGAAACTGGGACCCTCACACGTTGCTGGTAGGAAGGTAAAATGGTGCAGCCGCTTTGGGAAAAACACTTTAGCGTTTTTTTAAAAAAGTTAAATGTGAATGTACCATCCAGCTGGGCAATTCCGCTCAGAATCTACCCAACAGCAACGAAAGCACACGTTTGCCAAAGACCTGAAGACCATTCACAGCAACATCATACACAGCAGACAAAACGGGAAACAATTCAGAGGATGAACGGGTACAATGTGGCGTATTCATAGCGGACACTATCCAACCACAAACTAGCAATGGAAGCAACACTGATACGTGCTGCTGTCACTGCTGTCCGCCGCAGGCTGAGCCCAGTGTCCCTGGAGGTCATGCCACACAGACACACAGCAAAGCTCGGCTCTCACTCGCCCAAGCAAGGTCAATTGAGCGCCTTCTGTTTGCTGGGCATCAAGCCGATGTCAGGACAGCAGGTGAGGCAGAAAGACGAGGCGGCCCTGGGAAACGCAGGGGCTCAGACGCTGACATGTGAGACAGGCCCGCCTCTGGGTGACTCGGAGCCAAACCAGGTGTGCCGATCCAGCCACCCAGAAAGGGGTGGGGGTGAGGTGAAGTCGCACTATGCGACCAAGGAGACCCTGCACCAGGGAGCGCCCCGGGCTCAGCCGGCAGGTGTCTGCCCTGTGCAGGGAGGTGGTGTGGATGCGTGTGTCTGTGCGGGTGCCCGTGTGTGGATGTGTGCGTTTGTGGGGTGCGTGTGAGAGGTGAGTGTGTGAATTGTGTAAGGGGCATGTTAGAACGGTGTGTGTCCAGTGTGTGTCACAGAGCTGTGTGCATTAGAGGGGTGTGTGTTGGGGGGGTGTGTCTCCGTGTTGGCGTGTGTGTGTGTTAGGGGGTGTGTGTCACGGGCGTGTGTTGGAGGTGTGGGGGGTGTGTCTCGGGGAGTGTGTGTGTGTCAGGGGTAAGTGTGTGAGGCTGGGGGCCAGGGCAGGGGTCTGACGCACGCGGGCTCCCACTGCGGAAGCTGGGGGAGGGGTGTGAGGTAGCTTGAGAGCCCGGCCCCTCCTCCAGCCTGTGTCTCCATGGCAACTGCAGCCTCGGTCTCGCTGCTCCGGCCCCTCCCCCGCCCCCCTGGCTGCGAAGCGTCTGGAACCGCATCCTCCGCATCCACATCCGCATCCTCGTCCTCGGCCGCCTCCTGCAGCAGCTGCCCGTTGGAGCCGCCTGTGAGCCATTTCCACGTTTCTCCCGGTGGAGAGGGGCGAGGGGCCGGGTGCGGGTGCGGTGAGG